AGTCAAGCACTTGATCATCACCATGACATCACCATCATCATGTTATAATCTTCATTTGCTCCACCACTTGGAATGTGCCACCTATCTCATAACCACTTCGATAAACTATGTTAGCACTTAGGGTTTTATCAATTTACCAAAACCAAACTAGAGCTTTCAGCTCCCCGTGACGGACGTCGTCGCGTCGTGCCCAGCTTGCTCACGCGCCGCCTGCTCCCTCCCTTCCTCGGCTCCCTCCTTTCCTCCCCCCCCCTCAGCTCCCTCCCTCCCCCTAAGCGACTTCCATTGTGACTTGGCTCCTGCTCCCCTCACCGGAGACGAGGACGACGACGGTGTCTTCGACGAGGTAGGTCGGTCTTCTCTGGATCTGAGCCCTCCTCCTCCTCCTCCTCTGAGCACTCCTCCTCCTCCTCTAGATCTGAACCTCGTCCTCCTCTGGATCCGAGGGACGCGGCGGTGACTAGGGTTCCGGTAAGCTTTGGGGTCACTATTCCCTCTTCTCGTGTTGCAATGGGTGTTTTGGGATGTTGCAACAGTTGTTTTTTGATTGTTGCAATGGGATTTTTTTTCGGTTGTTGCAATAGATGTTTTTGCGATGTTGCGGTACTACTGCTTAAGATGTTGCAGCACATAATTTTCGTTGTTGCAGTACATATTTTTTCGATGTTGCAGTACATGTTTTTTTGATGTTGCAGTACATGTTTTTTCGATGTTGCGTACATATTTTTCGATGTTGCAGTGGATATTTTTCGATGTTGCAGTGCATGTTTTTCAATGTTGCAATATAATTTTTTTCGATGTTACAGTTTTTACAACCCGATGTTGCACTACATAGTTTTCCATATGTTTCTGCAATGTTGCAGTTGAAGTGTTATATGCTCTTTTGGGACAGGGGCGCGGTGGGGAACGGGTGCGTTGGGGAGCAGGGGACTGGAGCGCGTTGGGGAGCGGAGGAAGGGCGGGTTCCGTTTTCTATTCTGTTCCACGCGGGGAGCGGGCATGGTTCCGTGCATCTGGCGAGACGGGGTTCCATGCGGGACCGGCGTTCTTATCCATGCGAGGGGCGTCGCGCTCGCCTGCGCTGGGAGAGTGCGTCGACGCTCCTCCTGAGCTGAAGACGTTCGGCGTTACCGTTCAGGTAGGTCGAAAACCCTAACGAATCCAATCCAGCGAACTCTCGAGGAGATGCTGTCTTATAGGAGGAGGCGGCGACGTAACAAGACGAGGTGTCTCTGGTTCGGGCATTTTTCTTTATAAAAGCCCACAAAAGCCCAGCCTGTGAACGCTTCCGGCCGCAGAAGCCCACTAGGAGTATTTAGCTGGAGAAAACTGTTTTAATCTCCCTCGACTCTCGCCATAGTGTAATTTCTCCCTCATTTTAATAAAAACTATATATATACTATAATCCTGCTAAAGACTTCATGAGGGAACCGTGTAGTAGTTTTATAAATTAGACTCCTATTTGCCATAGTCAAATTTCTCTCTCATCATATCAAATACTTTTTTTTTACTTGACTAGGTGCGTTGCTACGGGATAACTAACAATTTATACTAAAAACATATGAATCGCACGATAAGATAACAATACTGTAAAAATTAAATACCAACGTTAAAGTGACATTTAATCCAAAAAGCAAAGTTTATGAATTTAACACAGTCATGGAGTGCGCGACGTCGCAGGCTCACAAACTCTACTTTATAGACCTTTCTGTGATGCGGCTAAGATAATATTTTATATTGGCAGGAAGAAATATCTGATATCCATTTCTTTCATTGTAATCTATTTATCTGGACAATGTTTGAGGTGAGGGCACGGTTACAATTTTTAGTAGTTTTGCGATATTGTCCGAAGCTATGAGATGATTGATGTCTTGCAATGATCCTTCCAGAGATTGGGTCGAATCCAACCTAAAGCCTCGGAACCCTGCATCTTTTCCTGGACGGGCTTCACTTCGGATGCGCCGGTAGCAATATCAACGATCTCCAATCGATGGACCAAGTCGTATGGATCCCCATACAATGGCTCAGACATGTAGATTTTATTCTCCTTGTACTTAGATACACTTGTTCCACTGAAACTTTTATTGAAATGTTTAGACACAAGCGATGTAATACGATCACCGATGTCCCTCACCACAGACCACTCCGCGTCGGTCGTGGAGGTTGCACTTGTAGATCGCTGCTCATGGGGGTGAAGCTCGTGTCTCGTGGAACGTGCTCACCATGGCACCCACAATGTGCACTCACCGTTTGATTCCGATTAGGCTGCGGTGGCGAGCCCCCAAGCAGTGGCGGCGGCATGATGGCGGCGGCGTGGTTGGTTGGAGTAAGCGCCGGCGGCGCGCTGTTGCTGCGAGACGGAGATTTCTCCAAGACGATCGATCGCCAAGAACTTGTCTTGGCGATGGGCGATAGACCCCACGGAGAACTCCGGTTTGGTGTCGGCGGCGTCCATGCGCTGTCGACTCAATCGATAAACGCGACCTCCGTGGAGCACCCAAGCATGGCCATGGCCACGACTTTTCGCCGGCCGGGCGTCGTCGGCGCACCCCGAGAGCACGATCTCATGGGAGAACACGTCCCTCATGTCTTCTAGCTTGATGGCTCTACCTGCGGCATCCGCGTCCCCATAGCTGTTGGTGGGATGGAGGACCAACCGCCCGTGGACCGTAGACACGCGTTCCGATGAGGACGCCGCCACGACGTGTTCGCCTGCTGGCGGGAGCTCAACGTGGAGGGCACGGGCACCGGCGAATGGATTCAGCAGCGTCACGGACGCCGCCTCGTCTATGAGCGCCAGCCACCCACACGAGGAGCCGCACGCCACCTTGCCACGCACGTCGGGCAATGTCTTGGACAAGACCTTCTTCTCCGGGACGCAGTAGAAGCCGACGCGGTCCGAGTCGGGGTCGAACGGGAGCAGCAGGAGCGCCCCGAAGGTCGCGAACGGGACGGCGGCGCGCCATGGGGAGCAAGCGGATCGGAAGGACGCCACGTCGTGGCCTGACGCAAGACGCTGCCCGATGGACTCGAGGAGATCCTCTGGCAGGCCGGATCTCCAGTCAGGGAGAGGTAGAGACCTTCTCTTGGGATTGGGAGGCTGAGCCATGGAAGACAGATGAACAGACCCAAAGGCAATTTCAGCAAGAAACAGCACAAGCAAATTCTAAAGATGGACTCATGGACCAGCCTATTATGCTAGGTTTCATCTTGTTGTTACGGCAGTAGTATCAATGACATTTGATTGATTGCAACCTGTCCGATATGATTCCATATAGGATCGCTCATAATCCAATGCCATCTTATTAGTATATCTTACTACCTTATTATTACACTTCTATATCTATATATAAACCAGAGACGTACACCGTGTTCGTAGTTTATGTGGTTCTATCTATATAAAGGCGTTATAAACAGTAAAGTCTTCTTATATTTTATACGTTGCATATGAGCATGTATGTACGTAGCAAACACATCTAGAAAAACATCTTGAAATTTGAAATGGAGGGAGCAATAAAAAGAAAAGGCAGGCCGCTGAAACACAAAGCACACGGACGCTTAATGGTTTCTCATATGGTGAATTAAAAACAGATGAGCGTTTGCACAGGGGTATAGAGTAAAGTACATGTGACGTGTTATATGCAGACACACATGCTAAGCATCTAGACGTACATGTTGGACTGCCTATAAGCATTTTGCTAGAATATGCGTGATCACTGGAGGAAGAGATGATCAAGTGGCTTGGAACGGAAACATAAGTAGATCATTGTAGCCGTAAATCTAGTGTTTGTTAAATATGACACGTATCTTGTTGTCTTCCAGAAGATGTAGCTGCTCTATGGTTCCTATGTGTTTCAGCAGCAGCAGCTAACTGTGGCCGTGGCAAATCTACTGCAAAAAAAAAAAAAAAAAGAAAAAAAAGAATGCAAATTGGTGTTTGTCAGTCTGAAAATAGGCACAGTTTAGTTGAGCATAAAGCAATACAGATGACTTTGGCCATGACAAACCTATTGCAAACAAAAACTTACGAATCGTAGTTATTGGGAGAACAACACGTTGTAGCAATTCAATGTTGTAGAGGGGAAAATGCGATGCGATAAGCAAACTGGTAGTTAGTATCGCGAAGCTGAAAAAATTCATGATTTACCTGGAGATAAAATGAGTCGTTGCCTGACAATTCGCTGAAATGGAAGATGTTTCGAAATGGAGCTTCTTAACTGAGAAGTTGGTATAGATGAATTAGTATTTGTCGATTGCTCATTGGTGGGTTCCCTGTACCACGGACCATAAGCAACGTAGGTTTTTATTTTATATAATAAAAATGTATAGAGCAATGGTCTGCCAAAGACATATGTATAATCACTGATGTCTGAACCCAACCAAATCATGATGAACCATGACAATGATCCAATTCGTTTCAACTGAAATGGCAATGATTACCGTGCGTCAACTGTGAAGTATTCCAGAGAGCAATAGCAATATAAAGATTTGGTACTAAACTGGAGTAAATAATTATGTGGAGCAGGATAAACTGACGGAACAGTTCATTGAGAAAGCTTCCGGAGAAATTGCAAGAAGGAAGACTAAAGAACTATGGACATAAATAATAATAGGTATAAGGTAAGCAGACTCACCGCATCAGTGTCGAGAGAAATTGCAGGCAGAAAGGCTAAACTAAAAGAGCTCTGGACATTTATGCATAAGCCATCTTTTAGGAAGGTAGAAGTATTTGGTCATGGCATATGAGTATATCTTCGTAACTTCCTGACGATAGGGAGTGATTACTCCTATAGAAGATTCATGAGCATGCCTGCATATGAGCACTAACTTCAATCCCGTTGAACCATGATGGACTGGTGCCCTCTACTCATTGCTCCTTGTTTGGTACTGCTACCCCGCATGGCTGAAATACTAAAGAGTGACAGAAGAAAATCCTCCCGCATGGCTGAAATACTCAAAAGTGACAGAAAAAAACCGAGAAGATGAACTTATAAATATGTTCAGCCATACCTAAGATAAATTAGGAAATTAATAAGTAGACAAATTTACACATCTTTTGCCATTTGTTCTAATATGATTTCAAATTAAACATATGGGCTGAGAGACAGTAAGATGATCAAAATTTGCCGAAAGAAATTAAACTCTTTAATATTAGATATAGATTAAAGGTGAACTTTTTTATTAACAATTAATTGTAAATAAGTATCAGTAAAAGATGAAATCAATCGTTGGAGGATTCCAGTAATAATTAACATCATCTAATTGCCGGATTATAACAGCAAGAACAATCAAATTCATAGTTGGATGCTTAATTTGACGTACCTTGTGTATGGCTTCCGTGCTGCAGCAGGATCGTTGTTGTCGTCCATCCTAGGCGCTATGGTAACCGGTGACTGGTGACTGGTGAGATGAAGCAGACGGCCAGGAAGGAGGCCGGACGGACTCAAGGCGGACGGCCAGACGGGAACCAAATCGCCGAGTGCGTCGGCCACCTTCCGCTTGGACACGTGGGCTTCCGTCGTGACGCGGAGCCGGTCAGGGGGCGGAGCCGTGGAAGGGATGGGCCGCCGCGCCGGGTACTGACTGCGCTGCTGCGTCTGCGCGCGCAACTGGAGGCGCCAAAACATGTGGGGGAGAGGAAAGAGTCGCGCCGCTAAATGGAAGATGTTTCCCATGGAGCTTCGTCGCTGGGTTGTCGATGTCGAATTAGTCGGTCGGCTGCTCATTGGGCGGTTCCCTGTATCACGGACCACGATGCGACGTGGCGGTCGGGGAGCCATGGTCTGCCAAAGCCATTGATGCACGGTGGTGGCGGATCCGTCTCCAACCATGACAATGATCCAATTCGTTTCAACTGCCGATTACCGTGCGTGAACTGTGAAGGGCACAGAGAGCAATAGCCCTCCACGGATTTGGCACTGTGGGGGAGAGGTAGAGGGAGGGATGCTCGGCCTTGGGAGCCGCCGCCCAGAAATTGCAAGGGGAAGAAGAGGAGGAGTGCCGCTAATAGGGGTGGCTCACGCCATCGCCCTCACACCTTGCAGCGCAGAAAGGCTAAACTAAAGAGCTCTGGACATTTATGCATGGCCATGGCGGAAGGTGAAGATTTGGTCATGGCATATGCCGTATATCTTCGTAACTTCCTCGGATAGGGAGTGATTACCCTATAGCCCCCACGATGCCTGCAAGCCCAGGCCCGTTCCATGTGAATCTAGTGACCTGACGGAGCTAGAAAAACTGGGCCCGCCTTTAAATATAACTCTAATAATATAACGATATTTCAAATAAGTATAATATATGATTTTTTGTTCTTCTTGTGATTGTAAATGAAGTCTTCTATCCCTTTCTTCTTTTTATTTTCTTACTTCCTGACATGCATGTTTTTTGGGCAACATGAGTTTACTATAAATTTAGAAATTAAAAAGTAATTTAAGAAAATTATACAATACTCAATTTAGTTTCGAATTTCAGAAAATTCAATGTGGTACTAAACATGCGTGATGCTTAATTTGACGTACCTTGTGTATGGCTTTCCTAAATCCCAAATCTAAAGAATATATACTTGACATACATACACAAGCACAATCAAGGGGACTTAGGGGGAACAATTTCTTACTGCGCTTGGACACGTGGGCTCCGTCGTGATGCGGAGCGGTCAGGGGCGAACTAAGAGTGGGCGACGGCGATCGTCTGGTTCTAGTTGTTGCCGCGAGCACGCGATGCCGACGCACCACCACAAGCGCCTGCGCCGCTAGCTTGCCCATGATCGTCACAGAGTCGCGGGTCGCAGCGGGAAGAAGAGGCAGCAGCGATGCCGCCGGTGGAGCGGAAGTCTGCGAGCCGCGAGTCGATGCCGGCGCGATCCGCCAATTAGCTGAATCGACGTGAGGCAAGACAAATTGGTAGCCACGTACATGCCTTTCTAGCTTGCTGGCTCTAGCTTTGGAGCCATAGAACGAATATACTATACCTACTTACGTGTCTGCGCCATCGTCGACCCCTTAGCGTCGAGGGCCTGCTCGGCCGCAGGGGCCGCCTCGAACCCCCAAGGCCCCAGCTGCCAGCCAGCCCGCGCTCCAAGATCTAGCCAGCGCGCCGAGGCCGAGCTCGCAAAGCTTCGCTGGAGATGGGATGCCGCCATGAGAGGGAGCGCCATCGGCGAGGGAGGAGCGCCGCCGTCGCCGGCGAGGAAGGAGCGCCACCGCCGGCGGCGAAGGAGGAGCGTTGCCGCGTCCGGGAGGGAGGAGCGACGTCGGCCATCGGGTCACGAGAGAGACGAGGGGGATTTTTTTTTATTAGCCGCGGTATCGCAGATGTGGGGAGAGGCAGAGGGACGAAACAAAATAAATGTCGTATTAAAAAAATATTTATATTTTGTTTTTTTAGTTGTAGAGATACGGCAGTGAATGTTAAGAAAGTGTGGGCGCTGCTGCAGCCGTCGACCGTCGTTGCTGGATACAGTAGCGTGTTGAGAGACGCTTGCAGCAGAGTTTGCAGCGCAGCACCAACTCTACCACTAGCGTGTTATCCAGAAAAAAAAAAACTCCAGCACTAGCGAGCACGGCCAATAATTCTAGAGAAAACAGGCTTACGGCCCACCAGCCAACACAATACACAATCCAAACTCATGTTCTTCTCCTCGCCTGCCATCGACTCATCGTGCGGCCAGCTGCCCAGCACCGGTAGTTGCAGGCTGAGCGAGGAGGCCCCGGCGGCCGGCACCTCTCTCCTCTTGGTCGAAGTCGAACGAACCTTCTCTAGCGCTCTCCCCACCGCCGCTGTTTTTGCACCGAGGCAAGTTCTCCTCCTCCTCCTCACTCGCCCCCTGCTAGTGACGGATTGGTCTGCAGTCTGTATCCTGCTAATCCGATGTTCTTCAGTCTTTGCGGCAGATTAGATTAGATTAGAAGGAATTCGCAGCATAGCTCAGGGCCATGGCTGTAAGCCATCACTTCTAGATTAATCTCAGGTGTATCAGTACCAACCCTGCTTTTGTGGTCTTTTCAGTGAACTCCAATTTTTCGACAATGGGCAGCAGCGCGGAGGAGAAGTTCAGGTTCTGCATTGACAGGGGCGGCACCTTCACTGACATCTATGCCGAGGTACCCGGGAGAAGAGAAATCTATGTCATGAAGCTCCTCTCCGTCGACCCGTCAAATTACGACGACGCGCCCGCGCCCATCAAAGTGATCAGGAGGATCCTGGAGGAGTTCTCCGGAGAGAGGATTCCCCGGTCGGTCAAGATCCCCACCGGCAAGATCGAGTGGATCAGGATGGGCACCACGGTCTCCACCAACGCCCTCCTGGAGAGGAAGGGAGAAAGGATTGCGCTTTGTGTGACAAGGGGGTTTAGGGATTTGCTCCAGATTGGCAACCAGGCTCGCCTGAACATATTCGACCTCAAGGTGTCAAAGCCGTCGAATCTTTATGAAGAGGTGATTGAGGTCGATGAACGGGTCGAGCTCGTTCGGGATGGCGACAGAGATGGGTCATCTGTTGAAGGGATCTCTGGGGAACTGGTGAGGGTGGCAAAGCCTGTAGATATCGAAGCATTGAAGCCTCTGTTGAAAGGTTTGCTTGACAAGGGGATCAGATGCTTGGCGGTTGTGTTGATGCATTTGTATACTTATCCTCACCATGAACTCCTGGTTGAGAAGTTAGCTCTGGGGATGGGATTCAAGCATGTATCATTGTCTTCATCGCTGACACCAATGGTCCGTGCAGTGCCTCGGGGCCTGACGGCAAGTGTGGACGCCTATCTCACACCAGTCATCAAAGAGTACCTATCGGGATTCATGTCGAGATTTGAAGGGGGTTCTGAACAAGTGAATGTGCTATTTATGCAATCAGATGGAGGACTTGCACCGGAGAGGAGATTCTCTGGGCATAAAGCGGTATTGTCAGGACCTGCAGGTGGTGTGGCTGGCTACTCGCAGACCTTGTTTGGACTTGAGACATCAAAGCCACTGATTGGGTTTGACATGGGGGTACATCCACGGATGTGAGCCGCTATGATGGAAGCTATGAACACGTTCTGGAGACACAGATTGCTGGGTCAATTATTCAGGCTTCCCAGCTTGACATAAACACTGTGGCTGCTGGTGGTGGATCAAAGCTTAAGTTTCAATTTGGTGCTTTCAAGGTTGGGCCAGAATCTGTTGGGGCACACCCTGGTCCAGTCTGTTACCGAAAAGGTGGTGAGCTAGCAATTACCGATGCCAATTTGATCCTAGGAACTGTTATTCCTGAGTACTTCCCATCAATATTTGGTCCAAATGAAGATATGCCCCTTGATTATGAGGCTACAAGAAAGGCCTTCGAAAATCTTGCAGTTGAGATCAACTCTCACCGAAAGAGTCAGGACCCATCAGCAAATGACATTGCAATTGAAGAGATTGCACTTGGGTTTGTCAATGTCGCAAATGAGACAATGTGCCGGCCTATACGCCAGCTGACCGAAATGAAGGGGCATGATACAAAGAACCATGCCCTCGCATGCTTTGGTGGTGCTGGCTCACAACATGCATGCGCTATGGCAAGGTCCTTGGGTATGTCTGAGGTACTTGTTCACCGATATTGTGGAATATTGAGTGCATATGGGATGGATCTTGCTGATGTCATTGAAGACTTGCAAGAACCATACTCTGCTGTTTATAATACCGAGTCATCTGCAGAAGCATCTAGAAGAGAAGCCCTTTTAGTAAAACAGGTGAAAGAAAAGCTGATGGAGCAGGGTTTTGGAGAGGAGAGCATCAGGACAGATTCATACTTGAATTTGAGGTACGAGGGAACTGATACGGCCATCATGGTTAAACAACCAGAGCAAGGATCTAGAAATGACTATGCCGATGAGTTTGAAAAATTATTTCAGCAAGAGTATGGCTTCAAATTGCAAAACAGGAAAATACTCATATGTGATGTGAGAGTTCAGGGTGTCGGTAGTACAAACATCCTGCAGCCTCGTGAATTGACGCAGATATCAACTAAACCTGTGAAAGAAAGTTCATGCCAGATTTATTTTTCAAGTGGGTGGCAAGATACTCCGCTGTACAAGCTTGAGAATTTGGGTTATGGCCATGTCAGGGTCCTGCAGTTATTATGAATGGGAATAGTACCGTGATCATAGAAAAAGACTGTAAAGCCATCATTACAAAGTATGGTAACATAAAAATAGAGATTAATGCAGCTCCAAGCACTGTATCAATATCAGAGAAAGTTGCAGATGTGGTCCAACTTTCTATTTTCAATCACCGATTCATGGGTATCGCTGAACAGATGGATCGGACACTTCAAAGAACTTCAATTTCCACTAACATAAAGGAAAGGCTAGACTTCTCTTGTGCTCTCTTTGGTCCAGATGGTGGCCTTGTTGCAAATGCACCTCATGTCCCTGTGCATTTAGGAGCCATGTCTAGTACTGTGTGTTGGCAGCTTAATTTTTGGGGTGATAACCTCCATGAGGGTGATGTTCTTGTAACAAACCATCCATGTTCTGGGGGGAGCCATCTTCCAGACATAACAGTTGTCACGCCAGTTTTTGATCATGGTAAGCTTGTTTTTTTTGTTGCTAGTCGAGGTCACCATGCTGAGATTGGTGGGCATCACGCCAGGAAGCATGCCTCCTTTCTCAAAATGTATCTGGGAGGAAGGTGCTGCCATCAGAGCATTTAAACTTGTCGAAAGGGATGTTTTCCAAGAGGAAGGAATAGTCCAGCTACTGCAGTCACCTTGCTCTGATGAACTTGTTGGCTATAAGATCCCAGGAACACGTCGGATCCAAGATAATCTTTCCGATCTCCATGCTCAGGTTGCAGCAAACCAGAGAGGTATATCACTTATCAAAGAACTGATAAATCAGTATGGCTTGGTCACTGTTCAATCATATATGAATCATGTTCAAAAGAATGCTGAGGTAGCTGTCAGAGAGATGCTCAAAACAGTTGCGTCTAGAGTTGCAAAGGAGAATGGATCATGTGTTGTTGAGGATGAAGATTATATGGATGATGGCTCTGTCCTTCACTTGAAACTCACCCTTGATGCTATTAAAGGTGAAGCTACAATTGACTTTGAGGGTACCAGTCCTGAGGTCTATGGCAACTGGAATGCTCCTGAAGCAGTTACAACAGCTGCTGTCATATACTGCCTACGGTTACGGTGCTTGGTGGATGTCGATATACCGCTAAATCAAGGCTGCCTAGCACCTGTGAAGATCCTCATTCCTAAAGGCTCTTTCCTCTCACCAAGTGACAAGGCTGCTGTTGTTGGTGGCAATGTGCTAACGTCTCAGAGAGTGACTGATGTTATCCTAATGGCGTTTCAAGCCTGTGCCTGCTCTCAGGGCTGCATGAACAATTTGACCTTTGGGGACGACACCTTTGGTTACTATGAGACCATTGGAGGTGGATGTGGAGCTGGGCCAACCTGGGATGGCACTAGTGGTGTTCAATGTCACATGACAAACACAAGGATGACTGACCCTGAGATCTTTGAGCAGCGGTACCCTGTTCTTTTGCACACATTTAGCATCAGGGAGAACAGTGGAGGTTCTGGTTTACACAGAGGTGGTGATGGCCTTGTGAGGGAGATTGAATTCCGGCGGCCTATTGTTGTGAGCATTCTATCCGAGAGACGGGTGCATGCTCCCAGGGGACTAAAAGGAGGACGAGATGGAGCTCGTGGTGCAAACTTTTTAGTCAGAAAAGATGGTAGAAAGATTTACCTCGGAGGAAAGAACACTGTAACGGTTAGTGCTGGTGACATTCTCCAGATTTTCACGCCTGGTGGCGGTGGCTTTGGCTCTCCTTGATGACACTTCTTGCAGATGCTGATCTTCCACCATTTGTTTCCTACCTTTGTACACCAGTAGCTCTATTTAGAAATAAAACATAATAAGACCGATACAAACACAAACCTGTTGGAGATTCCAGATGCTATTACTGCCCCGTGAGGCATTGGACCTGAATAAAGCATGAGTGGTGTTATTGTTCATCAGATACATGTGAAACCTATAATGCCAAAATTGATGATGAATGATGCTTGCACTTTCTTCTTATTTTGATATTAGTCGGAAATTGCCATGCTAATTTTCCTATCGTTTATGTTAAACATGCCCTCGTATGCCTGCATACCTCAGCTTGTGAATTGTGAATGTTGCTTCATTGATGTTGGTCTTCATAGATTATTTATTGTTAAACCAGTAATTGCCAAACATATACTGCTCCCGTGCATGCATACCCCAGCTTGTGATTGTTTCTTCCTAGTCTGCTTCAAAACTCCCGTGCACGCATACCTTCAGATTGTTTCCTGTAGCTGCTTTGGATGCCTTAAATGCTACTCTCTCCGTTCCAAATTGTAAGTCATTCTGGTTTTTTAGGTATATAGTTTTGCTACGCACCTAAATATATATTATGTCTGATAAAATCTATGTATCTAGAAAAGGAGAACGACCTACCATTTAGAACGGAGGGAGTACCGTTTGTTATAGGGCTAGTACTATTTGAACCATTTTCTTGCTTTGGCCGGCACATTTGGCAAAGTTTGGCACGAATATGAGTTTCTTGCAAGTGAGAAAGGGGCTAAGAAAGTATACTATGTTTTGTCATAGTTGTGTCGTTGAACCAATGACCAAGAATACGTGGTTCACTTAGGATTAGGATGTGGTGTGGCAAGCTTAGTGGTCAGCAACCATATTTTGTTATGACGATACTGATAATATTTCGGGTTTAGGCCTAAATACTTCGATCATATTAGTAGCTTGTGATATCGGAAACACATAATGACTGCATTGTCAACAATACTGGTGCGGACGGTCAAGGATGGTGCCTATGGTGTATGGCCGGGGGCTTCTAGCCTCCAGACCCTGTTCTAGAGGGTCGGTGTTTTTTGCACAGTCCTTATGTTCATTTTGTTCAAGTGTGGCGCCCATGTATATATATTTTTTAGAATGTTTGGGTCTTGTGTGTTATGTCATTGTGCGCATGGCATTCTTCATTGAGTACTCTCTTTTTAATAAAATGATACATAGCTCTGCTGCAGACATGCAGTATAAACTTATTGTTAGCTTGATGCATATTTCCTTTAGGCAATCATTGCTCGCTTTTAACGCAGATGAAACCTCAGGGTTGAGCTGATATAGTAACACCGTCAATAATTACCCAAATTAATAGGAAACATACATTTTGGAGCACCGAACTCTGTTTTCGACCACTGACCACTGCATATGTGTGGAGGCAATGGCACAATTATGGTCATCTTTAGTATGGCTCTACTACATGTAATCCAACACATGCTCTGCAAGAAAGTTCAGCTCAGATTGCCTCATTTGTGAATCTAGAGTTGAGCTGAATAGGTTCATTGAGCAGATAAATGATGCACATTTTTCTCCAAAAGCTTTTTCCAAGTCTTGTTGCATATTAGACTCGGAATCTGCAACACAGTTTTCTTTTGCGTTTCCAGAGTAAAGAAGCAGGAACTCTGAACATTTTAATCTGAACATAAAGAAAGAGACATTATTTTATTGTGATAAAGCTGTTAGTCATAATGGAACGTGTTATGGAGTATCAACAGACCTTACATGGTCGTCCCTATTTGCATCTTTTACAATAGCAGCAATGCTATTTAGCCCATCTTGTTCTTTGAAATCCTGCGAAGATGCCAGCAAGAGATCAAATGAAATACAGACACAAAAAGATCAGCAGACAAACTGTAGAAATAAAGAAGATTAAAAGGGTTCCATGTTCGACGAGCAGATCTTAATTACCGTCAGGTTTTCTGAACAATCCACCAGCAACGCTAAAAGAGTGTCCAGACATGCTCTTTGCTCAAGGATGCCCCGTGTCATCAGTATATTCAGAACTACCTGATCATAATTTATGCAATGTTCAGATAGAAACAGCATTAAAGCCAGCAGCAGCATACGCATTACTACTTTGATGTTCAAGGAATCCAAAGCCAGTTGTAGCATAGTGTCTCCTGTTTACGGCAAGAACATGACTTCTCTGCGTAATGGCCCATGTACTGGCGCATGAACTAATCCCGACTACTTTGGTACAGTATATATTTCGCCTCTCGTGCAAGGAACCATACATAATTCAGTAAACTTGAACTGAACGTCTTCTTGCCGAAGTACTTTGCTAGGAACCCAGGACTACAGGAACAGGATCCTTGACTCCTGGTGGTCCAGCACTTGATTGAAACCGTACTGCTTGCATGAAACATTCACCAAAACCGGAGCGAGGACATGGACCTGATGGGTTCGATGGGCCACTTCTCCATCCACAACGCATAGCTATTGAGAACTTGTCCCACTGTCCAGGCATCCCCAAGTATCCCCAGCTTCCTAACTGAAGCTCCAGTGCTTCGTGTACTGCGTGTGTGTGGTGACAACTGAAAAGAACTAGCCAACTAACAGTAGTAAAGGCAGGCAGGACAGGCCAGAAGAACAAACGTCGGGCATTGCATTGCGTTGCATTGTTGATGAACGAACAACTCTGAGCGAATGCAAATGCAGAGGTGCAGCGGCAGCACCGATATGATCGTGAGGCCGTACGTACCTTGACGGCATTGTAGCGGTGCGCCGCGGCGGCGCAGGCCGGGCAGAGGAGGCAGCAGCCTTCGAGCACCCTGAGCGCGAGCACGACCTCGGAGTCCGTGGCGGGGTTCCTGAGCCTGGCCGCGGCGGGCTCCATGCCCAGCACCTGCGCCACCGTCAGCACCGCGTCCCCGGCCCCGGTCGCCGCCGCCTTGCGCAGGCTGTGCTCGAACAGCACCGGGATCACTGCAAAACCCAGTTCCGTCGGCACGAGTGACTAATGGAGAAGATGGAAGAGGCAGAAGAGCCGGGACGACGGCGAGACGTGAACGTGACGACGTGGGGACCTTGCCTTGGAGATCTCGGATGGACTGGGAGTCGCGGAAGGGGCCCGCGTCGGCGCCGGCGTCGGCGACGGAGCGCAGGGCGCGGAGGAGCGCGCGGAGGCCGCGCAGGCGCAGGAACGAGAACCCCGCGGCCGCGTCGCGGAGTCCGCACCGCAGCGACAGCGCCAGGTCGCGGTACATGCGCCGGCGCTCGGCCGCCGTCGGCCGCCGATGCCTCACAGCAGCAGCTGCTGCAGCTGCCGCCGCCGCGTCCGCCTCTGCCGACTCCACCGCTCCTGGCATCGCCCCACCTGTGTCTCGCCGCGTCACTGGCTGGCTCCAGGCTCCGCGAGGCACGGCGCCAGTCTCTCTCGTTAAATTCTCGCGGCGTCTGCGGCCGAGTTCACGGGTGGGAGATCCCGTGTCGCGGTCGTGGACGACGCGCACGCTTTGCCTTTGCTTCTCCTGCGGTGGGGTCGGGTGGCCCGTCTAATCGTCCGGGGTCAGTGGGCCACACCCACCTCCGCACGACCGCAGCGCACTGTGCGTGGACTGTGGAACTCTGGGCACGCTCCAAACACGCGGACGGCATGGATTGCGAAAGTGTCCTCAAACTAATTCATTCTCCCTCCATCGTGAGTGCAATTCTTACTTTCCAAGAGTCAACAGTTCATAGTTTGATCCAATCTAAATATAAAACACAATTCTATAGTAAAAATACTTAAAAGACATAGATGTTAATGAACATTTTCCATAAACTTAACTTAATTTAAAAGGACTGGTTCAAATATAGAATTCATTCATGCTAAACCATCCAAATTCTACCAAAGTTTTAGTTCTGAGGTTGGAGAGAGATGCCTCTGTTGATCTAAGCAAGACTCACCAAGCAAGCAAACAATAAACAGCTTAGACATGCTCTCTCTAAGAGAATTTTTCTTATAATATTAACTTTTAGCCTATAACTCATTGGCTCTGTTAAAACTTCACCCCATATTCATTGTTTTATCTTATTTTTTCAGTTCGAACAGTTGTTTTTCTCTCACAACAATTCAAATTATAATAATGTGTTTTTCATCCAAATTTCCAAATAAGATTCGAGGCCAGAGAGTGAATCTGTTGATCATAGTCTCCTAAGACTGGCCACAACGGTGCCAAAAGGATCTTCGTACTCTGCTCATGCCGATGCCCAGAAACCATGAATTGATTACAGCGTTCTGCATTGATGCTTGAGTGCACATGGGACCAAAAATTGACCATTCCCTTCCCCGAGTTCACACATCCATCAGTTGAGAAATAATTTTACTTGTTCAGCACTGAGGCAAGAACACTACTTGATGCTTGCATTTTTTTTTCCTTCAGCATCAGTTCACACAATGGGGTGACTCGATGCTTCCGCCTTCTCTTTCTTCTTTCAGCATCGATAAAAACCAACGCTGTGGCTAGTCTAGCATAAATAACGCCGGATGACAACTTCACCAATAGTAGAGTTTGGGACCTTTTCATTTGATTGACGAATATATATATATATATATATATATATGGAGAGTATATTCAGTAGTCGGCTACAGAATAAGTTATTCTGTAGCCACCTCCATTTACGATAATTTTATATACTAATTTACGATAGTTGGGTTACTATAACACATGGGGATATTTACCATAACGTTATAGTAAACCACTTAGTAAAGAGTTACTATAATCTCGTAAATTTACATAGTAGTTATCATAACTCAAAGTGCCTACAGAATAAGTTATTTTGTAGCCAGCTAATTGTAGTATATATATATATATATATATATATATATATATATATATATATAATATATATATATATATATATATATATATATATATTTATATATTTATATATAGGGATTACTGTATGGTACCCAGTACCAAATAACTATTCAAGTACCCACCACCCAGAAAGCACCCGTCCATAGGGCTCCTGTGATCGTCTGTCCGGCCAGATTGCTGCACCCAGCCGGTTTTTTTTCTTGCCGAGGCCCGGCCCACTCAATTTCTAGGCTCTGCCAGAGTTTTTTTTCATGAGGCCAGAGCACCATCACATCTCGTCAGCTCCCCACCCACCCACGATGGCATGATCTTTTTCGGTTTCCTCGAGACTCGTCCCGCTTTTGCTCCGTATCACCACTTGCCCACGCTGGCAAATCAACCGGGCGGTGGCGGTGGCGGTGGTGTGTGCAACTCTTCCTCCAAGCCGGGCGGTGCGCGCCTGCGCCCTCTATCTACTGGGCGGTGGCGCTGCTGGCCTCGTCCCCTCCTCGCGATGGTGCGTGGGCCCCCGCCCGCCTTCCGACGCCGTTGCACGCCTTTGCCGCACCTCGATCCGGGAGGGAAGATGCCGATTTAGCTCGTGCAACGCGCACTCGGTTGTGGGGACAGCAGCATGTTCATCGTGTATCCGGATCGAGGTGTGGTGCGAGCCCCTCTCCTCCCTATCCTCTGCATGAGACCCACGAGGCCCTTCTAATTTCAGCTCCGGATTTCCTTATATAACTCAAGTCTCGCTCACAAGATTAAAAATATTTTCAGCTCTTTATCTATTTGCTTCAGTAGCACTTGTTGTACTTAGGCCCATCTTGTCCGCTTGATACACGAGATCTTGTATTGTGGTTTACAGAGATAGTTGTACAATTTTATTTTTTTGCATTGTCCGATCCACTTTCCCTTTCCGGTATCGACGGCAGCAAGCCGGCGACCTCGTGGATCCACAATCTATGGCCGGGAGCAGTGCCGTCTCGTGTGTCATCTGAGCAACCCAAAGAACCAGGTGCCCTCACGACCATCTTGTCAACAACCGTCCTAGGGGGTTCCGGGTGCTGTGGAGGGCAGAGTCGCTTGCGGTCCACAATCTAGAAAGATCCAAATTGGCCCCTTTATTGTAGTCAGGACTTGCATTTGTATATATTCCAGTTCTAAACTTAGTGAATATTTTGCAACTATTCCCGTACAGAACTAGATGAATTATGCAGTAGTTTAATAAATTAATAGGCTGTGTATCTTTAACTATTAATTGAGGAGGCGGAGAGAAGTGCCTCCACCATTCATTGGACACGCTTGTTATTTTCAGTCTTTGATACATGCACTTTCTTTCTTGTAGGACGTATATTCTGTTTTTATCTGTTATCGCATATTAATAATATCATCTTTAGCTGATGCTTTATATTAATAATGCCATCACTCACTACTTTGTGTAGAGATTTTTCTTCTTCTTTTGAATCAGAATATGCTAGTTAGGAATCACGTGGTAGCAATGCATCGCACCGGAAAATGCAGGGTTTGCAAGAACAAGTCCTGGTTCTTTTTCCTCTACTTAATGACCACTGGGTGCACTAATTGCATAAGCATCGCGAATTAAGACTTGAACTTTATCATCACTGCATCTAGAGTTAAGTTAAATTGATTGAAGATCCAGCTATCAATCATCCAACATGTCAGAAACTTCATTTATTCAGCTTATGTATTTCTAATCTATCAATCAAATTGACTCTTGTGATAGTTTGGTTTTTTTTGTAGTGATGGAGCTGATGGCTATGATCACTCAGGTGCTGAATGAGAAGGGGTTGTCAGTTGAGACATTACTTGTCCATGTCTGTATCCTCCTGGTAATTTTGTCTTCCTACTGTGCTGCCCTCAATTGACTCTGCCTTCCTCTGTGCTGCAGCAGGCTTTGATTTTCTTCTATTCTGAATGTGCTATGCTGGTTTCGATTATCTAAGGAGGAATCAAAATTAGATAAATTGATTATGACATAGTGTCTGTGAGTCGGTATGACGGGTGGGGTGGGGTGGGGTGGGGGGGGGAACACATAGGACAACCTATTTTTCCTTTTGTTCCCAACCAATGAACTAATACATAACATTGTTACTTCCTGGAAAACACACATGGAAGACTAATGCAATAGTTTCTATCCTTAAGTTAATTACCAACAATGATTATGTAATAAAATAATTTAGCTCCTAATCTTGGTTCCCCCTTGTGGCTGACTATTTTAAGGAAGTTTTAGCTTTAGGGCAGGCATTACTGGTGATTGCGTGGACGTTCCTTTACGATGATAGAATTTAACACCTTCAGGGTGCATACCATCTCATTATAGCATGTTGTAATGATTAGGATCATGAGTTATTCAGATTTAATATGTTTATTGAGGTAAAAATATGTCTTCCCTTCACTTGAGCGATAAACTGCAACTTAATCAATAGTTAACTTTATATTGCTTGTTGAAATGTAAAGAATATGATACAAAATTCAGCTTGTTAAGGTCTAGTGTTCTGCAATTTGAAGAGCCTATATGTTTGAGAATCGCTGGGGGTCAATTACTTCTATAGTGCCATCAGTTTTATATGTTCCCAATGAATAGCTGAAAATGTGATTTATCTTGGATTCAGCCAAAGATTAATATCCTAGATTGCCTTAAACGTTTACATTAAGGTTATGTTCACTGTAGGTCTTATTCATTGGTCACCTAATTGAGATTAGAGGTATAGAAGATATTATTGATTCTTTCTTATTTTCCCTGTGATCTAAATTGTATGTTCAGCTCAAAATTCTATTGTAAGGTAGTAATAGAGATCCTAGTGGTATTCTTCGAGTTACACATGGATAGTAATAGGAATCGTCAGGAAGACTAATGTACTAGTAGTTTCTATCCTTAAGTTACCTTTTTTTCTAAATGACGGGAAGGAGAATATTGCTTTGGGCTTTTCTTCTAGCTAGTGGTATTTCATAATTGTGAATCCGCTCATGATATGTGACTTAAGGTGTTTTCATTGGTAAATAAAAATTAAAACTGGTCCTTTTACTTGAATGTAGTTTCAGCTTCAAGTTTGTGCAATCTGTTCTTTTTTTCTTATTTTCTAGTAGATGGTTGCCACCCTATATATATAGATATATATCATACTAGAAATTCATGAACATTTTTCCTATCTCGACATATTCTTTAATTTTGCTTATCGAAATGGCAAATGGAGTAGCTTATGTAATCATTTACAAGCATGATGGTCCATATTTATCTAATCGTATAGTCATAATTGTATTGATGGAGTACATGTTTGATGATGGGGACCCAGAGCAAAATGCTATGTCTACATATTTGCTTACTTTCCTGATTTTTAAATTTCCCTTATACTATGTCTATTCATATCAAGTCAACAATATATCTGAATTTTCATTATAGAGGTCTGTGTCTAATGCAGCCCTAAATTAACTCCGTCAAGCTCTTGAGTGTTGGTAAATGCAATGATAATCGACTTATATTCACCGGTAAATGCAAGCTCCTA